TATGTCAAATCGTTATAAATAATATAAAACAAATGTAATATTTATTTTTTTCAGAGGTAAAAATAAAGACCTACTACAGTACTACGTATATAAATTGGCTTTTTATTATTAAATAAATCAAATTAAAAAATAAAAAAATAAAGAAAGCAAGGACTCCGTAAGCAACCATGGACCGTCTCAATCCAACAATAACAATAGACTAATAGTGACACGTTAGGCGAAAAATAGCAAGAATATCAAAAAGGATAAAATGTCCACCTTACATTACTGGATGCATTTAACTATAGTACTTGTAAGATTCCCCCGCCTTTATTTTTGACTCCCTCTATTCAACTATTTTATTTGTCCCTATTTTATTTTTTACCCTATTTGACTGTATACAGTCTCCAAAAAGCATCTTAAAACATTACGAAGTATATCTGTAGTTCGTTTATATATGGAAAAATTATAAAATCATGTTATTAATAAAATCTATATAAAGAGACGAATCTAACAAGACCACTCATAAAACTAGTAGGAAGCGAGATACAATTTGGGCCGCCACTCCTTTAGTTATATCAAATTCTATCTTGGGGAAGAGATAGGCAACAACATGTGCCGCAATGTCTTGAGTGTTCAAAAAACTTTTGAATCTGCTTCAACAACGCAACAACCTCCTTCTCTAATTTTCCAAGAGAAGAGAAAGAGAAAAAGAGAAAAGAGAAAAGAATGAAACAGTACCCAATTGCCCGACAACTAACTTCATATTTAACCACCTTACAATGAGTCGTATAAGTCATAACTCGCCTAAGTAAAAAGTCAGACAACCCAAACTAAGTCAGATATGAAGACCTTGTCATCAAGTCAACACACATCGCGACCTCGTTCCCAAAAGTAAAGTAATATATTTGCCTTATTGTTTCGCAGACAACTCAAAGTCAGCCTCTTTTATTGTTTAAATTTCCAGACCGATAGCAAATATCAAAAAGGGTAACTTGAATAACATTTTGGCAATGTTTAATACCCCCATACCAGCACATGAAACTGCATGATTCCCATAAATAACTCCGAAAAATACCCTAGATCAAGCAAATCACGATGTTGAAATAAAGAACAAAGGAACACCTTATCAATAACACAACACACATCAATTAGCGTTCATTGTTTGACCTAGCCCAGAAATAGGGACCACCCGAAGCCAAGCCAAGGTGTGTTCTCACTGTTGAGTGAGACTTCCACAAAGCTGACCAGCAAGGAGACAAAGAAAATGTGAATTATGCAGAAACAATAATCTCTGTGAAATATATATCTGTCAAAATCTTCATAAGTTTTGGGGGCAACGACCTCAATAGGATTACTTAAATTGTCAGACTCCAAATATTAATAAAAGGGCCTAGCTTACAATTTCTGGTCTAATCTAGAGTAAGTGTGTACTCTATTAAAAACACTTTGAACTGAAATTTCTAAAGACTTAGATCGCAATTTAAATCGGTTAAATTTATAAAAGGTTCTGGCTCGATAACATCACTAAGGGCCTATTCTCATTGAATGAACTTAGCTGAATTGAACTGAACTGAGCTTAACTGAACTGAAGTGAAATAAATATTTTATAAGAGAAGGAAATTAGAAGCTGAGCTAAACTGAACTAAAAATAAACGTATGAGAACAAGCCCTAAAACCTACTTTGTAGAGAAGAGAGAATAGTATATAGCCATTTGCCAAGTTGTGTAGTCGTAGTTGAGTACCAAAAGAGAGTAATCAAAGTAGACTGACTTAGAAAACAGTCGTCAGGCCACCGCTTGATATGCACCAATCCACATTGCGGCTTCGATGACATTATCTTCCCAGGCCACCGCTTGATATGCACCAATCCACTTCTACTATTCAACCAACCGACTTTCAACTTTTGAATTTATTTATATTTGGATTGCTTCATAAAATATAAATTCAAAAAGTTGAAAGTCGGTTATATTTGGATTGCTTAATAAAATTTAAGTTACTCATTCGTCTTTTTGGATGATAGTGTTCAATTCATCTTCTTCGACTTTATTGTTTACATATTTGTGCAAGCCTGCAAAGCAATTAAGCTACCTATTTTTATTTTAAGTTGGGAGTTTTCAAAAAGCTTCATCGAAAATTTATCTTTCTAGTGTTGGTTTTTTTAAGCTCTGAGCTTTGGTTTTACTTAAGTACTAAATACATAGGCCACGTTTGTTAGTGTTGGTTTTACTTACTATATATGGGTCACGTTTAGTTCAACTTAAACACAAAATACGAAGTATAGGTTAGTGTATGTCAAAAATGATGGTTTATGACTCATAGGAGGAGTATGAATGTCTTTTTAAAATTTTCCTACAAGAGTGATGGAGTAGATTGAGCATCAACTTGCTTACTTTTATAACTAATTAGAGAAATCTAAACATATTTAATTGGACATTACAAAATCAAATTGACACAACACAAGCATGTTGTAAAATAGAGAGGTAGACAAATGCCCCATTGACGGAGCATGAACATTAATTTAAAATTTTATCACAAGTTTCGCTTGCATATCAGCCTCACTAAAGATGGCTCTGACCCGAGTCGAGTCCACGTGCTTTGGGGTTAGTTAGGCCCAGCCCATGGCTCGGCCCATGAATTTTGTATCGTGTCGGTCTGAAGTTTTCAAAAGGTTGACACGTGTAATCGTGTCTGGCTTGCGTGCCTAAGCAAAATTACATTGAGTTTAGCATACTTTGTCGTGCTGGCCCGATCGTGCCATGCCTAATCGTGCTTAAGTCAAATAAAGGAGGTCCACATGCACAGTAATGTGCCGAGCCAGTCTAAATCGTGCCATGTTTTTTATAGTGCTGGGTCCCGACCCAGTGCCATCTCTAAGCCCGACCATTATTTTTAACTAATTAACAAAATAAATCTAAATGATTATTGAGGAGGCTCACAAACTTAGCTTGGTACAATGTTTCATATGAAAGATCAGTTAATCGGTTTTACACAAAGTCCTCTACATATTTTTTTGATATAGTGAGCAAAATATTGGAAAACTAATTTGATTTATATTTTCCAATTTTCAAACCGTCAAAAACTCAATATATATATACTTTGTTTGTTCTTTTTTAATTGAAATGTTTTGACTTTTGATACTGTATCATAAATAATACTTTCACTATTTTGGCGACTTGTAAATTATAGTTACAATAATGCGAGATCTTGTTTGAATTGTCTTATTATATATTTTATCATAATATTAATTTTTGTAACTTACATTTATTAGTACTTTTGATTGATAAACTCGTATGTTGTCAAACATCATAAAAGACGTGTGACTTAAAAGAGAATGGAAGAAGTATTCCATATACGAGATACATTTTCCAGGATTTAAAAAAACTAACTTTTCCCTCTAAAAACATTCCATTTTAATTAGGCACGTAACCTAATGTAGAAATTTATTTTATATATACTCCATTCGTTTTTATTTAAGTGTCGTCCCAATTTGACCGTTACACTTGTCAATGCATAATTTTAACTAATGATATATTTAATTATCAATAGGTATAAATTTAAGTTGATATTTGGAAACTATGCTGATGATTCTAAGTTCTAACAAGTATTCATTGATTACATCTCATCTTAAGATTTAAAGTGTAGGAATTATGACTAATAACAATTAATAATAGAACAAACTTATCTAATATAATGTCGTGGCGTGACATAGAATCACTGTCCTAAAGTCGAATTTGTCCCGTACTTGTACACACAGACTCATAGCTATCGACCTCTAGGTGTACACGACTCTTCGGTGTACTACCGAGAGCTAGATTGAGAACACTTTAATCAATGCCCAAAACAAGATACAAGTACTATAATTTTGTGTAACAATTTTGGAGTGAAGAAGAGAAGTATGTTACTATATCTTTTTTGTGTGTCCTTATGAAGTGGAGGGGACTTCAATTTATAGCGGAGTAGTAACCAAAGAAGGAAGCCATTCACGGCAATCATGCATGCCCAAGTCCAGGAGTATCAATTAAATACCTTTAATTGAGTAATCACAAGCAATCAAGCATTATGTACTTAGCCTCAAATATGCATGGTTAGGCGGCTTTAAATGGTAATAGAAAGAAATATTTATGGCCAAAAAGTCAACTAATTAATATTTGCAAATTTGGTTATTGATATTTTGAAGCAAAAATGAAACTAGACTTGAAATTTTATTTTGGAAAGAAATAACTCCAACAATAATTCCAACATAAAGCACGGTTAAAGCGATGCATATGAATAGTATTAGCGTCAAATTTGAAACACTTAAATAAACAACGCAGGGAGTAATATTTTAATTTTTAAGGCCTGTTCTCTTACGTTGAAATTCAGTTCAGTTCAGCTCATAATTTCCTTCTCTTACAAAATATTAAGCTCAATTCAGTTCAATTCAGCTCAACTCAGTTCAGTTTAGTTTAGTTTAGTTCAGTTTAGTTCAGTTCAACTCCTAATTTTTTTCTCTTATAAAATATTCAGTCCAGTTCAATTCAGCTCAGCTCAGCTCAGCTTAGTTCAGTTCAGTTCAGTCAATGAAAACAGACCCTTAGTAAGCATAGTTATATAAAGTTGATATCAAGTATTTAACAAATATCTACATAACTGAATTTTTTTTAGTTATAAATTAATATGGAGTAATAAGTTAAGATGGCTCATTTAAATTGTACAAAGAGTTAAAATAAGACATTTGTTTTCAAACGGAACAATAAGACCCAAAATAAAATAAAATAATTAAAATAAAACCTACAAGGAGTGATAGAACTATTTATTACAGTCACATTTACATGGACAAAGTATACAACGTAGGAAGATAATGACGCGATGTGTCAAAAACACTTCCACAACATTAAACATTTTATAATGTTAAAAGAAAAACAATAACGTATACCGATGCAATTTAATTACTAAAAATAGGAAGAATAAAAAAAAAATAGAAAATAGGTAAAGGATAAACCCCATAAAAAAAGGGAAGTACTCAAAATCCACTCCAGTCCAAATAATTAAAAAAACCACGTGTAGTTTAAAAAATCCGTCCAATCAAAAAAATCATGTCCTCCAATTGTGTGTGTCAAAATTTATTGCTCCCTATCTCTCTCTCACTCAACAAAACCAAACAGTATATTGGGGATTCTTTTCTATTTCTCATAATAATTAACTTGATTCAACTTCTCATCTTCAACCAAATTAGAGATAAGTGTATGAGATCCAAGCGATGGGAAGAAGGAAGATTGAGATGAAGCGAATTGAAGATAAAAGCAGCCGTCAAGTAACGTTTTCAAAACGGCGTTCTGGATTGATCAAGAAGGCTCGAGAACTTTCCGTTCTGTGTGAGGTTGATGTTGCGGTTCTCGTCTTCTCTAATCGTGGTCGCCTTTACGAATTCGTTAGCGGCTCCTCTTCTTCCTCCAAGTTAGTATTCTTCCTCTTTCTCACTCTTATTTCATTTAATTTTGTTTTCGTATTATTATGTTGTTTCAGTTTTTTGTTTAAGTTTTTGTTGTTCGTATAAATGGCATGATGAATTTTCTTTGCATTTTCGTTTGGATTTTAGAGTTTTATTTACTACTACTTGCGCGATTTTAGGTTTTTGTTCACATAAATAAGCTCGATCTGCGCTGGTTTTTCATTTTTTTTTTGTTGTTGTAATAATTTCGATTTTCTATATTTTTTTTTTTTTTTTTTAAGTTTAAAATACAAAATTGCACCAATTTTATGCTTAATTTTATGGCCATTTTAATTTATATTTTTAAAAAATATTTTTCAATTTATGAGGCGGTGCTTCCAATTCTGAATTATTGAAATTATAAAGAATTTTAACCTTCTTCCCGTCAAAAAAAAATATAAAATTAAATAAATAAAAACCTTTGGAGTTATCCTTTAACTGAAGTGGTACAGTATAATGTAACTGTGGTGATTTGATTAGTACTACGGAGTATTTTTATTATTATAGTATATTTTTTAAATTTATTTTTAAATATATTATTGATTTTTATTGTTTTTGAGTTTTAATTTCCTTGTCTTTAACAAGAATCACGTGAGTGTTTATTATTAATGGTATAATATACTACTCGTACAGTCGTACTTTAGCAATATTTTATGATATAGTTGCTCTTAATCATGAAGTTAGTTGAATGTTTAACTGTTTATCTCGTGATTAGTATATTAATATTACATTGGATAGCGTGAGGTTGAAGCTCTTTTTTTTATTGGATTGTTTGGTTCGTTATACGGAGTACTATAAATAGTAGTGTGAAAGTGTTGAAACTTTCCTTTTTTAGTAGCAAACCTGCAAATGAAAAAGGAAACATCATTTAGTGAATAATTATTACAGTTATTACAAGTACTACTAATATTAACAGTGGCGGACCCAAGAATTTCCGACTGATGAGTCACAATCGATAACCAAATATGTAAAAAAAAAAATTTGACAACATGACAAGCTTAGCTCTCTAATAATTGACAAGATTAAAATTTGTACAAGCATTAGGGTGTATTCACAATTTGACAGACATAATTGACTATATCATTAGGGTGGGTCGACTATATCATAAGCAATCGTCCGAATCGCCAATCAAATCAGCACATATGCAAAACCCCATATAAATCTACCAAAGTCAATGGTGTATTGACAATTTGACAAACATAATTAACATCAATAAACACCCTAAATAAACACTGATTACAATTCACATGGTCAAAAAGGTTCAAATTTCATCAAAAACCCAACAACATTAACAAAAGGTTCAAAGTTTACCAAACAAACAACAACAAAATCAACCAAAGAAAATAATTTTTTTTTTTTTTTTTATTTTAAATAAACTTAGAAATTTTTTTTGGGCCCTGGTGAGTCATTTGACTCACCACGCACAAGGGCAGGTCCGCCAATGAATATTAATACCCGTAATTTTTAATTTATTATTAACTTTTAATTTCAACCATATATATATATATATATACATTTCGATTTTGATTGATTTTGTCTTTCATAAAAACTATTCCTTTTATCTCTAGAATTATTCGTATATAGATTATGATATGATTTGGATTGATTTTTCAACCATTTATTACTCGTACCGTTTTAATATGATAGTCCCATATGGAAGCAATTACATAAAATAAGAAAACAAGAATATTTGGAATTTAACATTAAATTCAAAAATAATTTATAAATAGTTTTGCCTTATTTAAATTGTTTGAATTTACAAAAACTAGGCTTATCTTCATAGTTAAGGGAATAATATAAGTGTTGTTGACAGTCAAAGTACTGTCGATTTGATAGTTACATAGCATGTTATGTGATTTTAATGGGAATACAGTTCCTTCTCGTATTTAAAAAGCGTTTATTTATCACGTTTTGATTCTATAGATTAATAATACTCCTATAAAAATAGGGACAATCTTTTAAAAACAGATGTAGTACATGTTTTTATGGTAACACATGTGTTTAAGTTTCTCCGTACTAGCTTTCAAAAAAAAAAAAAGTTTCTCCGTACTAGTATAAATATCGTGAAAATGTTTCTTCCTTCTAGCTTCCAGTTTTATGATCGGTTCTAGTAGTTCTACCATTGATTTGGATGCTAGGTCTAGTTGTAACATTCCCAACTTTCACTAGGGTCGGCTTCTTCTCCCACAAGGGTAAGGTCGTGCGCCGTAAAGATGGATCAAATTAAGTTGACTCGTGAGAGATTTGATCAAGTTATGATCTCTCTTAATCTAAGTAGACACAATAAAAAGTAATTAGAATTGATTCCTTTCTCACAAGAACTAAGGATTTTATTTTATTTTATTTTTGTTGTTGTTATCGTCGTCGTCAATTGCAAGTAACAAGATGAATAAAAATCGTAGTTCTGTATTTGGTTTAATCTCTTTAAGACCTTTTTCCGGCTTAATTTCAGTTCAGTTCGATTCCTAATTTCCCTTTCTCATAAATAATTCAATTCAGTCCAGCTCAGTAAATCGTAAATCACTACAGGCCCTTAATTGATGATGACGAGCTTAAGGAAATTCAATCCATTCAACTTTGTAAAATAAAATTAGTAACCTAACATCTTTGTAAAGATCATTTTATCATCAAATGAAGAGAAAAAAAAAAAAACTAACTGTGTTGAGTGTACGATATATCCAGGTGTATATAACAAATTCTAAAATTAAATCTTCTTGGCTATTATTATAAGAATTCGACCTCTAAAAAAATATAACTATATGTAATAATGTATGTATGCATGCCTAGTAGATCAAAGACTTTTGACGAACTATATTGTATAAAAATACTCGTAGTTGTCTTGATTTGTATAATAATCCAAACCTAAGACGTAAAGGTTCATTTGACATCACTGTGTTTTTCTGTTATATATTTTGTTTTTTTTTGTTTTCAAAATCATATGATATTCCATATAATGAATAAAAACCGAAAACAAAAAACGGTGTCAAAGAATCCCTAAGGTGTTTTTTGTCCACAAAAAAAAGAAAAAAAAAATCATAAAGATACTAAATATCAACTCATGAGATACTACTATTTCATAGAATTATAAATCTTAAAATAAATCTTAAAATAGTAAATATCAACTCATGAGATACTACTATTTCATAGAATTATCAACATTATACGTTAGATAAAACAACTAGTTAAGTTGAATGCAAAAGTGCAATGATTGCCTATGTGCATGTTTTTAGAGCATTATAGAGTCTCATATTTGATTAACATAAAAATACTAATTTTAATGGTTCTTTTATTTTGACACAAATTTTAATGGTTCTTAAAGATTAGCTAGTATTATCAACTTTTGATGACTTTATTTATTCAGATATTGTGTATAGGGTTTTTCTTATTCATACATATATCAATACCTTATATTTTCTAGAATTTATATTCTAAACTTGAGTTATGATGTACAATTTTAAAGGTTTTAAACTTGATCAAAAGTTGGGTTTTCTTCACCAGCCTACACTTCAGGAGCAATTCATTCGTGCAAATCCTCCCCAAAGCTAGCATCCACACAATAGCTTTCACCATTCACCTTAACAAGGACCTTCATGTTCAATATGAAGCTTGCTAGCGGAGATGTTGGATATTATAGGGTTCAATTCAATTAAGGAAGGACTTGCAATATTCATATAATCTTAATAGAATTCTCGTCCAAACTTCTGTAATACTAGAGCTTAGTCCAAGAATCATCGGTCTTTAGAGCTTCATTTGCAAACCTTCATATCTATCTCCTCAAGACCTTCATATGATTTAATATCACCTAAAGCATTTATATTAAGGTCTCGTTGGTTGACATGGGAATTACATTCCCGTAGAAAATTATATTTTATGGGAAGTTATTTCCCTAATACTTTCCTAAACTTGTTTATTTCCCACCATGTTTTGTGGGAAATGAAAATTTCCATTTTGGGTGTCAACTAAACAACTATCCAAAAAAAACTATCCAATTTATCAAATCCCAAAAAATTCACTTTTCTCATTTTATATTTTCAACCAAACAAGGCATAAGATTCAACCTTATTATCTTAGTTGTTTGATACACATGCACATTGCTCATTATACACCAAAATAACACAAATGCGTATGTTAAAGAGCATGACACTTTGACAAAAAAACATGTGATGAGTATGTTATACACTTAATTATACCAATAATTAATAAATAGAATAACAAATCCATGTTCCATTATCAAAATGTGATGTTCTTTACACGTGCATTTGTGCTCCTCAAGTGCTTAATGAACAAATGCACGTGTATTTATATCACAACCTTTTTCAAGTTCCTTCTTGTCCAAATTGATTTCACATTAATACTTCCTCACTTAAAGCAAATAAAATTAGTAGGGATGGTATATAGACATTGAACAAATGGATGAACTACACAAGAATGAAGTTATCAACCAACTAATCTTTCAATATTAGATATTACAATTATATTTCACCATGCTATGAACTCTACGTTCTTCACGAGTAACTATCATTTTTCATATAAATTGAATATTTGATATATATGTGTGTGATGATACTTTAGCCTCACCTTGGTTGCTTTCTAAAGTACAACTTTATTTTATGGATTTAAAGATACAACTTCTTAATTATCTTTGACATATAGCGTTATGGAGTTTAGGTAAATGTATCTTAGACAATGTTCAACAATACGGAGTAAATTTTAGGGCTGTTTAGGGCATGTTCTCTTCAACTTAGCTACAATCAGTTCAGTTCAGTTCCTAATTTCTTTCTCTCTTAAACAATTTATTTTAGTTCAGCTCAACTACAATCAGTTCACTTCAGCTGCGCTTAATTTAGTAAATCAGATTAGGCCCTTAGTGATGTTACTAAGTCAACCACTGTTGAATAAAAAACAAAAAAGTGTTAGGCAAAGTAGCAATTTAGGTAATGAAGCTTTTTAGTGGTTTTACTAATCT